CAAACTACAGGGTGATTGAGAGTGCTTTGGGAAGGAGAATTCAGAACCAATTTTTCAGACATACTTCACATTGTCAAAAGTCTGCAAGTCCCCTATCTCCAGGGTGTATGCAAAATAGGAACAAAGTACTGGAACTTCAGAGAATAAGGCTGAAGCTATGGACAGCCCCAAGGCAAGTGATCTACCATAGCAATGCTCAGGAAGTGAGAAAGGCTTCCCCCAGATACACTGAGGCAAATAAGGTATGCAGGACCCTTGGCTAGGTATGACAGGGAATAAGGAGGCACCACAATCTCTCTTGGAACCAACATGAGGACAAAAGGAACAAGGAATGGGAGGTGAGGCAGAAGAACGCTTCTAGTTTTCTCAGTAAGGTTTAGCTATGATGACATAAAGAACCACTAACTAGAGAATGAAAGTAACCGCACCAGCTAAAAAGAAAAAGAATAAAAATCATGATTTATTGTAGAGCATAATGTCTGAAATTAGCTCTTATGTCTCCACAAAAAGATTTTTAAGGAACAAATTTGTAACCAGCACTTGAAAGAACAATTTCTTCATTAAATGTTGAAAACTTAATGTTTCAGAAAAGCAATCCCAAAATGATAAGGTCAAAGTACAAACAGAAAGATACAAATTCTGGCAGCAAATAAAAGTGAAACAAAGAAAAATGATGTGGCAGAGCTTGAGAAACAAGTCTACAAAGTAAAATAAGAATACTGCAAGAATACTGCAATGTTTTTTTTGACAAGAGTTGTATTGAACATATGCCCATTTAGTTTTCCCCTCTAGAGCAGAATATATATTGCTTAAGTAAGATTTAAGAAATTATTTATTTAGAGTTTGTTTCCAAAAGTAAATTAGGATTTGACTAAGTTTCAGTGGTTATAAAACTGCTCTATCTTCAGAAACTGAAACAAAAAGCAAAGCTCTTTACCCGAAGTTTTATTTAATTAACGCACACCTATGTACCAAACCATGACCAGCATCAATTTACAACTGGTATTCCTTTTGTCTTGTTTCCCTGCTGCAAGAGAACTGCAGTTTGTTTGTGGTGTGATTTTAGTACGCATTTTCTTCTGTGCTGGCTAGACATGCTCGACAGACTTCTAAATAATAACTTAAAGTATGTTATCCATACATATATAATGTTCAGTATATTTACACAATTATAGAGTATGCTCTACAAAACCGTAATGAAAGCTAAATAAAACATAATAGAACGCACCTTTGAGTTAGATATCCACTCCTGATCAGGCTTCTTTTCATTACTGGAGTCTATTTCCTCTTTTAGGGGACCATTCCACCAAGTTGTCAACTTGAAGCTCATTCCTACAGAGATGACATTTGGCTGTGCAAAAGCCCAAGCAACATTAAAAGAAATGTATTAAATCTAGTTATTTATAGTGAATGATAAATATCACCTTTACAAAGCACCTTTTATGCATGTATTATACTGATGTAAAAACATCCTCAAGGATTCATTCTTGTAACACAATTTCTCATTTCTGATGTGACAGTCAAAATATTTTATTTGCAAGAACATTAACATGACCTAAATGCTGCACATTTTATAAACACTCAGCCTTCCTTAAAAGTGAATTGGTCTTCTTGCTGAGCATATTTATATTGAAATATGTATCTTAAGGTTTTAAAGCAAGGATATATTTGGGCTATGAGAGTAAGATTATTTAAAATATGAGAAAAATAAACCATCTTTCAAAGACAATATCTTCCTTAGTTACAGACAAAAGAATGACCTTTTACCCTTTTTCTTCAAAGCATGCACAAAAATAATAGCAGTCTGATGAAATATGCTTTGTCAGGACCAGACACAGGGTATCTTCTCTTTTTCCCCAACAGACACATGAAATGAGACATAATTTAACACCAAAAGCCTTTTTCTCTGAAGTACATTCTAGATAAATCAAAATTTATACAATAGCATTTTCATAGGACTGCTACGAAAATGTAATAATAGACTGTGTGCACTATACAAATGGACAATTTTGTTAGGCAAAAATGACAGACATGAAAAACTTCTGCCTAACGAAGCAACCCTTTAAAATTAGGTAACACTGTTTATATAGAAATCTGGCCACAGAACCAAGGCATCTTTAGAGAGGATTCAAAGCAGAGCTCACAAAGCACATGAATGCTGGGGGCTGCTAATCTGGAATGAATTGATAGCCAATTAGACAGACTAGCAGTCATAGTCTGATACATTAATTTATTGCAGCAATAAAGATATCTTTTCAACAGGCAGACTCTTTAACACAAACAATTTAGAAATAACAGTTTTCCAAACATAGTGAATGAATGAACCATTCTTGATTTGGCAGCAAACCAAAAATCCTCCAGTGACAAGCCAAAATAAATTACATCTATTAAATCTGAAAAATATTTTCTGGGAAAAAACCCACAACTTCCTAACAGTGCTCATAAACTTCTTCTTTTTTAATAAAAAATTCACAACTTTATGCATCCCTTCTCCACTTTAGTACCATAATTATAAACAAAACACAAAAATTAGCTGAACATTGCCAACACAGATACTGAAGACTTATGATAAAAGCATGTGAAAATGACAAAAAAGTCTTACAATGAACAGCTGGAAGAAAAAAAATATTTGAATGCACATCTGGCAAGCTTTTGTAAGAATGCAGTTGACACACAAAGACAGATTACTACAGAGATCTTACAGCTTTATTGTGGCTTCTGCATAGGATTTTTACTTACTTGCACAACTCTAAATTTAGTCTCAACAGAAGACTAAAATGAAGCTGTTACATACCAAGAAGTTTTTCCAATTTTGGTAAATGCTTTTAGGTTCACATTAGAAAGATAAAATGATTTCCAAGTTTGTAACACTGTGACATGCTAAACTTTTCACTCAGCAGTTTTGTGCTTGCAGCTTCACATCTCATTTGTATTAATAATGGAAACCATCATCTTGTCTGGAAGAATCCTGCTTGAACCCAAGCTCTGGGGAGAGGGTATGCAGTTTATAGTCTGCTTTGTCTTCAAGGTGATACCTAAAGTACTTTCCCTTGTTATTTACTATGAGAGAATTGCATTGTAACTATTCAGGCACAGAAACTACCCAGATCAAATGCAGTACTAGTACAAATACCTATCATGTGGAAACAGTGAATTCCTCAGCTTTGGAATTTAGATGCATTTTAGATGCATGTCAGAGTCAACTTTGGAATTCATAGATGCCTGTTTAGATGTCAGTGTTTTGGCTAAAAGCTGCAAAAACTTCCTTGACGATCAGGAATCATTTTGAAGGTAAGAAAGCTTATTCACTCACTGTTTTAGAAACTTATGACAGTTCAAAAGAGCAGAACCCATACCCACCTCTGTTCAGACTTCACTACTGTGAAAGCAATCTATAGACCAACACAGGATTGGACAAAGGTGGTAGTTCTGGAGATTCCATGGTCCTTTCTTGGCAAAACATAGTAAGTAACTTGACTTTACAGTCAAGTAGTAAATAATGATGATAATTCCATCACATCATAACCCAGTTTATTTCTCTCCACGTTAAAAGCACCAGAAGGTTCAGTAGGGACACTGACTCCAACAAACATATCAAGAACCTCTGCACTGGAAAAAGGTCTCTGCTCTTTTCTTCACTAGTTTCCCTCAAATTTATCAGAAACTCTAGAGAGTGGGATAGCTGCATCAGAACTTTGTGTATCTGGCAATGGAACAATGTCAGTCCAGAAGCCAGACAGAGCACCCTTTCCACCTCTGTCTTCTTAGGTTGACTGACTATGCACAAGTAGGGACTAGCCTGTCCCTCCCTGCTTGTTCCTAATAAAGAGCACCAGCCAGGTTTGTACTAACATTTGCAGCTCTGTTCTGAAGGGGAGTCAGAACAACTCCCAGGAGTAAATGCAGCAGAACTGGATACAGATGGTGAGACTACCATGCCACTATATTTCCCTAGAAAGGGCAAATAAAAAGGAAAAGTATATCTTAGAAGAGTACAAGAAAAATAAATACTATGGTTTTCAAAAGAGCAATTCAAGTATACTCATTCAAACTTTTTCTGGAGAGAGCCCCGAGAGAGGACTATAGATGGCCCTTTAGGAAGACAGCTATTTCATTGTCCAAGCTTATCAGCTTTGAAAAAGGAGTGTAGACATGATTTTAATTTACCAACCTACTTGGACAAGTGGTACTTAGAACTCAAAGTATGTATGCAACACATTGTCTAACAGGAATAAGCAATTCTCCTGGGGCAGCTGTTCAAGTAGCAATTATACTATGGATGTGACATTATTTATAGTTAAGATTGCTTTAAATTTTAAGAAATTCAAGCCATACTTGGTTAATAATTAAGCTCTAAATAATTATTGAACAATTTTCAAATAATTTTTCCATCTTGTATTCTTTAGGAGAATAAATAACCTTCTAAAAAAGGTTCTGACCATATCTCATTGGTCTTCCAGATCCTCAAAATCAACAAGGGTGTCCTCCTTGTTGTCTTACAAAACCTGCAAATGACACTAATGTTTAAAGGGGCGAAGATATTTTGACCTATTTCTTTGGAATACCCTAGTACTTTTATATTTCAAGAGCAATAAATCTTTTTATTTGGCACTTCATTTGATATCCTTACTAATATTTCATTCTGGCATATAAGCAAGAAGGCACCTGTCTCCTCCCTCTTCCTTGGCTGGTTTAAGGAGTTACTGACACAATCTCCAGAAGTGCCAAAGTGAATCTGCCTAGTCAAAAGCAGGGAATGGAAAGTGTGCTCACTACTCATAGAGTGGCACTGTAATTACAGTACCACCTCAGTTTTGTCTTCCTATCAAATAAATCTCCCTTGGGAAAGCAGATCTGTATGCTTTTACTATCAGGACAGACCACAGGAAGTAGTACTAGTCTATCACCACACAGTACAGACCACGCTGACACACGAGACAACCCAGCACCATGACACCGCTCCACGCTCCCCGCGGGCCTCGGCAGCGAGCCCCCAGCACATGACCCCGCTCCCCGCAGGCCCCGGCAGCGAGCCCCCGGCACATGACCCCGCTCCACGCTCCCCGCGGGCCTCGGCAGCGAGCCCCCAGCACATGACCCCGCTCCACGCTCCCCGCGGGCCTCGGCAGCGAGCCCCCAGCACATGGCCCCGCTCCACGCTCCCCGCGGGCCTCGGCAGCGAGCCCCGGCACCATGACACCGCTCCACGCTCCCCGCAGGCCTCGGCAGCGAGCCCCCAGCACCATGACACCGCTCCACGCTCCCCGCAGGCCCCGGCAGCGAGCCCCTCACGCCGCGGCCGTTTCCCGCCCGCAGAGCACGGGCCGCGCGCCCCGCCCCGGGCCGCTCAAGCCCCGCCCCCGGACACGGCCCTGCCTCGTGCCAGTCTTCCCCCTCGCCGGGAGAAGAGCGCCCTCGGCCAATCAGAGGCCTTCCCTCGAGCGCCGTCCGCGCGGCTAATGGCCAATGGGGAGCCAGCACCTGAGGCGAGGGCGTCGAGGCGGTTAACGGTTGACAGTTGACAGTTGGTGCTGGTCGGTCGCGGCGGCGGGCGTATTGTTGCGCAGTCGGAGTTCGTCACCTTAACGAGGCACCATGGTGGGAGACGGGATCCTTGCGGCTGCGGGGGGAGAAAGGGCGTTTGGGAGATGGGATCTTTGTGGCTGCGAGGGGAGAAAGGGCGTCTGGGAGATGGGATCTTTGTGGCTGCGAGGGGAGAAAGGGCGTTTGGGAGACGGGATCCTTGTGGCTAGGGGGGGAGAAAGGGCGTTTGGGAGACGGGATCCTTGTGGCTGCGGGGGGAGAAAGGGCGTGTGGGAGACGGGATCCTTGTGGCTGCGGGGGGAGAAAGGGCGTTTGGGACAGCTTCTGTTGCGGCACTTCAGGGGAGTTCATGACTGCGCGTGCTGCGGCAGCACTCGCAGGCAGTCTCTGCTTGAAGTCCCAGTGGTAGTTCTAAGGCAGAAGGGTTGGGGAGAAGATGAGAAATTAGCATGAAACCTTATTAACTTTGGAGGAGGCGAGGCATAGAAACCGACCCGTAGCTAGCAAGACGAGATATGTGCAAAGGAATTCTGTTCGGAGCAGGTACCTCCCGCGCGAAAAGGCGAGGGACGAACTGAAACCTCTGTCCAGGCGGCGGGGAGATAGCGGGACAGGGCATGGTGGCCGCCGGCCGGATCTTTATGCCGGTTAAGGGCCGCCCTGGCGCGTGAAGCTGTAGAGGGGACGGCGCGTGCTCGAGGGACGGCGGCGGTGAGGGCCGGGCCGGACGGCGCGCGCCGTGAGCCGCTCCCTGGGCATAGCCAATCAGGGGGGGGGGTGGCCGACGGCCGTCAGTGGCGGTCCGGGCGGCGCGTGCCATGGGCCAGTCCCTGGGGCTAGCTAATCAGGGGAGGGGGCGCGGCCGGCGGCGGTGAGGGGCCCGGCGGGCGCCGCGAGTCTCGTAGCGGATCTGCGGGACTGGAGCGGAGATTGGAATTTGATGAAGCTACCAAAGAAAAGGGAAAGAGCACCCGGACACCTTGCTTTTTCTTTTCTGCCTCTGCTTTTTTCTAGATACACTCTAACAGTAAATTAGAAAAGCAGCTTATTTCCATCTCACGTGTAAGGCAGTTGAGGTATTGGGAGATTAAACATACATGGCACAGTTGCTTAGAATCAAAGGAGCTAGCTTAAAGGGGGCAGATTATATTTGATTGGGACTCTAAAGACCATTTCATGTAGGAATATGTGTGAAGAAAAGATGTACTAATTGCTAGGGCCTAGATACTGGTATGCTTATTGTAAAGGAAAATGTACTGAATGGTCCTGTGCAGGAAAGATTCTTGCAACAGTTACCCAGTATATGGTGTGGTAACGAGTCAAGGAGATTGGGAGGATATTATATAAAGAGGTCTTCCAAAAACTAAAAGAAGAGTAAAAAGAGACTAGGCTGAATATTAAAGATGGAATATATATGCAGCATTGTAAGGGATAATGAATTTGTATTCACCCATGTGTTCATAGGGACTATGTTGTCTATAGGATCTTACATATTCACAAAGTCAGTACAGGTCAGTAACGGTGAGTAGTGCCTTGCCAGCAGCCAACCACTTGTTCTCTTAAATTATGACTTAAGGGCAACCAGGGGATATTGCAGCCGAGAAAGATCATGGAAGATACAACCCACAGGCGAGTAGCTTCATGTCTAATTATCATTCTCTTTTTACTTTGCAGCGTGAATGCATATCCATCCACGTTGGCCAGGCTGGTGTTCAGATTGGCAATGCATGTTGGGAATTGTATTGTCTTGAACATGGGATCCAGCCTGACGGTCAAGTGCCTAGTGATAATACTATGGGACGTGGAGATGATTCATTTAACACTTTCTTCAGTGAGACAGGAGCTGGTAAACATGTTCCGAGAGCAGTGTTTGTAGACCTAGAACCAACCGTAGTTGGTAGGTACCCAACATTAAAGATCTTAAGTGAAAAAGTGAGGATCCTTTATGGATTCCCTACTGTCTTTTTTTGTTTGTTTAGAACACTATAGATTTTAAAACGTGTGTCTGGATGCTGCTTTGACATTTGTGGTTATTGTTATTGGAAAGAAATTAAATAATGGTCTACCAGTAACAATATCTGGAAAACAAGAGAACTTTTTTTTTTATCTGGATCATCTTTCCAGACTCCTGCACTGTATACAGAGTTTTGCTTGAGTGCTATCCAGTATTGTGTCTGTACCTGTAATGTAGTTTTCTGAGTGATCTCTGTGTTCCTTGAGTACAAATACTTCTTTGTGTGTGCCTGTTTACCCTGAAACAAAGGGGCAAAAGTTGTGCCAATTTCTTAGACCAGTCAGACAAGCGGTGTGTAGTCAGAAATGCTGTCTACACTCCTGACCACGTGTGCTTTGTGTGTAGTCACTAGGCAGCACACACAGAACTGAACAGATCAAATTTATGAGGTGATATTTTGGGTTTTTTTGTAGATGAAGTACGTACAGGCACGTATAGGCAGTTATTCCATCCTGAGCAGCTCATTACTGGGAAAGAAGATGCAGCCAATAATTATGCCAGAGGCCATTATACCATTGGAAAAGAGATTGTTGATTTAGTGCTAGACCGCATTCGCAAACTGGTAAGGATTCATTTAGTATTTGAAGTAATTGTTACAGCTCTATAGCAAGCTATATTGATGGTTTGCTGTTTTTTTGTTAACAATTTTGTGCATAGTTAATTGTTCAAAACAAAATAAACCTTTTATTTCCTGGTGTGCCCCATCCCCCCCTTTAAATAAAAACTCAATCAGTTAAACCAGAACCTTTCAAGAACACTGTTTTTTAAATAACAATGTAGAACCAGCAAACTTATGACAAATGCTTTTGAATGATTATTTTAATACTGATTTCTCCAAAACCATCAATAACTTTTTTTCTCCCATTTTTTTCCACCTCGTTATAGGCTGACCTCTGCACAGGGCTGCAAGGCTTCCTTATCTTTCATAGTTTTGGTGGAGGCACTGGTTCAGGGTTTGCATCACTGCTCATGGAAAGGCTATCTGTTGACTATGGCAAGAAATCTAAACTGGAGTTTGCAATTTATCCAGCACCACAAGTTTCCACTGCTGTAGTGGAACCCTACAACTCAATTCTAACTACCCACACAACATTAGAGCATTCAGACTGTGCCTTTATGGTAGATAATGAAGCCATTTATGATATATGTCGTCGTAACCTGGACATTGGCCGTCCTACTTACACCAATTTAAACCGATTAATTGGGCAGATTGTTTCATCCATCACAGCTTCACTACGTTTTGATGGAGCCCTCAATGTAGATCTGACAGAATTTCAAACTAACCTGGTTCCATACCCACGAATCCATTTCCCCTTGGTAACATATGCCCCTATCATCTCCGCTGAAAAAGCATATCACGAGCAGTTATCTGTGGCTGAAATTACCCATGCTTGCTTTGAACCAGCCAACCAGATGGTGAAATGTGACCCTCGCCATGGCAAGTACATGGCCTGCTGCATGTTATACAGAGGCGATGTTGTGCCCAAAGATGTCAATGCAGCCATTGCCACTATCAAGACTAAACGTACCATTCAGTTTGTGGATTGGTGCCCAACTGGATTCAAGGTATGTAGCCTATTAAGTACTCGTTATCTAAGTGATTAAGAATTGTGTAGTCTTCAGAGATGACAGTCGTGCTACAATATTTTGATAAAGTACAAAATTGAGCTTTTTTATTTACTTGTAATCATGGTGATTTTTGTTAACAGAAATGAGTCTTTAAGCCTTGGCATTTCTAAGGAAAGTTCTCATTTGTTTTCTTGAAGGTGGGCATTAACTACCAGCCTCCAACTGTGGTGCCAGGTGCTGATCTTGCCAAGGTGCAGCGGGCTGTGTGTATGCTGAGTAACACAACTGCTATTGCAGAAGCATGGGCTCGGCTCGACCACAAATTTGATCTCATGTATACTAAGCGTGCCTTTGTGCATTGGTATGTTGGGGAGGGGATGGAGGAAGGAGAATTTTCTGAAGCTCGGGAAGACCTGGCTGCCCTTGAAAAGGATTATGAAGAAGTTGGCCTAGACTCAATAGAAGCAGAGGCTGAAGAAGGAGACGAATATTGAGAAAACTAAAGCCTGGAAAAATCTGTTTACCGAAACAAAAAAAATCGCAAAACCGTGTTTGTTTTCAAATGTGCTTCCAAATAAAGTTCCAAACATACTGCTGCTTTTTTTTCTTCTTCACTATTAATGTGCACATTCATGAAGGACAATTTGAGATTGCAGGTTTTGGTAGTGGATCTGTTACCTGCTTTAAAAGTACATAGTAATTTTTAGCTTCCTACATTAGTATAGTAAAAAAAAAAAAATCTCATATTTTTTACTAGTATGGTCACATGAATAGAGCTTTAGAGACACATGGAAGCATCTTTATCATAGGACATTCGACTTGTGCAGAATGTGCTGCCCCAGCTGGTTACTGCATGGTGCTAACAACACCAAGGTTGTGGTTTCAATCCTCGTATGGACCATTTAGCTAAGAGTGATCCTTGTGGGAATATTCTGTGAAATAACTAGGCTTTTGTTTGGGGGGGGTTGTTGGCTATTAAGAAAGAATTGGTGTATTTAAGTACGAAAAAAGTCTGCTTTTGACCCTGAGAGAAGGAAGAACCCAGGTTTTAGTAGCCTAATGCGTTAGGTACGCTCCTGCTGGCAGTAGCAGCTCCAAGCCGTGCCCAGGTGAAAGCTGCTCACCCGTCAGCAAGGTCTTCCATTCATGAGCCACCGTTCCCACTCTCACACTCCTCATGGATCACTCAGTTTCTCTTTCCACTCGACAGCTCCCCCAGTGTAGGGCGCTGCTCTGCCCTGACGGAGGATTGCCGGGGGTGCTTACCCAGCAGCTGTCGCGCCAAGGCCGTTCGGAACCCCGTACGAGAGTACCAGCGCCGAGGCAGCCGCACGGCCGCCCGAGCCCGCCCCGCGCAGCGCCGGCTCTGCCCCCGCGGAAGTGCTGGGCGCCGCC